AGATTCTTTCGCATTTCGGCTTATCGAGTTTTCTTTTTAGCTTTTAATGCTTAAAAATATTCTAAAGTTTGTTTTTAAATTATAAAAAGCTGATTAGCGGCCGCTTAATCTCGTCTTTTAGCTTTTCGAAACTTATTTGCTTAAAGATCTTGTTTTAGCTTTGCTATACGAGCATTAGCTTTTATCATATAAAGATTAGTTAATAATTAGTTTTTCTTTAGCTTTTCTTTTTAAGAAAAATTAATAAATTAATAAAAATTAAAATATTACGTAAAAAAGATATTTACTTTGCGCTTGCTAAAGTTTTTTAGCACCGGATTGCTTACCGCTACGATTGCCGTCGTATCGGCCGTATTTTAAAAAAGACGTTTTTAATTAATAAATAAATTAGTAAATAAGAAAATGATTTTTATTATAGATTTTTCAATCTTTTCTATTAAATTAAGCTGATTTATATTTGCAATAATACTTTTTATCGAATCAAGCTAATAAGCGGCTATATTAAATAATATTATAAAAAAGCTAAACGTTAAAAGTAATTGTTTAAAGTAAAATCAAAAGTAATAAAATAAAAGTATTAAAGTTAAAAGTAAACTCGTATATTTTATTTTTAAAACATTTTAGCGCGGCCGCTAATAAATTCACGAAATGATAAAGCAGCCGCAACTAAGATAAGGCGGCCGCAGCTAAAATAAAGCGGCCGCTTCGCGCAATTTTTATTTTATAAAGTAAAATTTGATTTCTTTTTACTATTATTTAATAATCAATTATAATTATCGCTTTCTTTGTGACGACCTTAAGCGATTACCTGAAGGAACTCACGGGAGCGCGGAGGTTCACATAAGAGCTCAGGAGAATCTTAAAGTAATGACTTAGAATCAACAACTACCGAGTATAAAGGTCGAAGGTAGCTAAGGTCTATATATACGAAAGTAGAAGCGCCAAGGACTCGTGAACCATGGTTCATAAGTCAAAAGCGAGGAATGAGAGAATACGAAAAGAAAAAAAAAGGAAGTAGCTTAGCGCATATAAGGTGCGTCCAAGAGACCTGGCGTGTCGTCACACTACCCTCCCGTCCGAAAAAAGCTCGTCCTCGAGCGTCCATCCATTGCTTTATCACTGCTCAAGTGATCGTAGTTATCAATACCGTCCGAATAAGCCTTAATCTACTCGAAAAGCTTCGCGGGAAGGCCGAAGAGCTCTTTATGTTCTAAGTAAAAGTCACGTACCTTAAAAAGAGCGTACATGAAGTCGGAGGCGAGGTACCAAGTAAGGTCAATGTCGCGGCCGAGCCAAGAAGCGCGGTATTCAAAGTGCTTCTTAGTTTAGCGTACCGTTAAAATGTTTTCCACTTCGTACTTAAGTTCGCTAATGATATTAATCGAGTCAAGTTCAAAAATGATTTGCTCGAAGGTAAGGTCATTAAAAGCTTTTCGTAGCCGTCCGAAGTAAAAGACTAAGTGAACCTTCATTGACTCGAAGAGCTTAAGTTTGAAGCTGCTATAGACGTTGTTAGTAACTTCGAACGATCCGTTCGTAAGGTTATCGAGCTTCTTTAATAGTCAAGAAGTAAAGAACGGGCGCATATCTAACCAAACTTTATCATTAACGTCGAAGTCAACCGGGCGCTTTGATTTATTAGCTTGTTTGGCTATGCGGTCTTAAGCGCGCTAAAAGTGCTCTCTAGCGAGGTTCTAAGCTCCGAGGTGGCGGTTAGCGTAAGCGCGAGCTTCGTCTTAATTGAGCTTGCGAAAAAGGGTTTGGTCGTCAAGTCGTTCTAAGCTCTAATTCTAGGTAGTCCGGAAAGCGTAGCCGTAAATTACCTCAAAAAGGGAGAGACCGCCGAAAGAGTCGTGAAAGAGCGTTAATTAAGCGAAGTCCATTATAAGAAGGAACTCACTCCAATCGTCTTAATAGTAGCTTACGAAAGGACGGAAGCGCTTCTGCAAGTACTAGTTATAGATTTCGGTCTAACCGTTAGTTTCAAAGTGTGCGGCGGTGCTAAAAGTCAGTTTAGTGCCGAGGATTCTATTGAATTCTTTCCAAAACTCAAACCAGTATTAAAGTCCTCTGTCAGAAGTCAATATCAAAAGAGCTCCAAAATACCTGTAAATATAATAGATATAAAGCTTAACGAAGCCTCTAGCATCGATAGACTTATAACAAAGGATCGAGATTGCTTGCTTAAAAAAGCGGTCGATTACTATAAAGACGTTATCGTAACCGTGCTTATCTTTACTAAAGCTATAAAAATCTATAATAACGTGCTTTCAAAAGCGCGAAAAGATTAAGAAAAGTTGGAGCAAACTAGGTTTCTTATCGCGAAGCACTAAAGCTCGTCTGCAAGCGTAGCAGTTGCGGCAGTACTAGTTGACGAATCTAGCTATACCGTGCTAGTAATATTATGCTGCAAAGAGCTTGTAAGTTTTGCAAGAGCTAAGATATGCCGTAAATACTTAGTCGTGGACTTCTCGGACGAGTAACGAGCGCAAGTTTTAGACGTCGAGAACTAATAAGCGGCCGTCATAAAGCAGCAAGTCGCTTTCTATAATGAGTTTGGCCCGTGAACCGTGGTTCACAGGTAAAGACTCAGCTTTAAAAGCTTGAATTCGAAGTGCTAAGAAACTGAGAGCGGTCCGATTAGCTTTTAAGACTTAGTCAATAACTCGAAATGTCGATGAAAGCTCCGCGATCTTTTCGATAGTGACGGCGGTCTTCGAAAGCGTAAGTTAGCGTAGCTCTTCGGTCAAGAGTCGTAAGTCAACGTTATCGGCGCGGAGCAGCGTTCGCAAGCGCTAGGTACGCTTGAGGCTGTTCTAAAAAAAGAGCTCTTCGATGCGACGTATCAGCGCGTCAGCCAGCGGGTTGTCTTTACTTGGTCTATACGTAATGATAAAGTTGTAATCGAAAAGTAGCTCTGCCTAGCGTGCTTAACAAGCGTTAAGGGTCTTGGAGGTCATAAAGTACTTTAAGGCCTTATGGTCGGTGATTACTTGAACCTAGTAAAAAGAGCCGGCGAGTTCGGCGCGGAAGTTACTAAAAGAGCGTATAATAGCCAGCATCTCTTTATCGTGGACGACGTAGTTGAGCTCAGCGAGAGCCATGGTTTTAAAGTAATAAGCGACTAATAGCCAGTCGGAACCATGCTTTTAAGAAAGGACTAAAGCGACTACGCCGTTTAAAGCGTCAGTCTCTAGCATACAAAAGAGGTCTTAGTTGTAATGCTATAAGATTAGCGAAATAATCAAGGCGAGCTTTAAAAGGTCGAAGCTTCTTTAACACTAAAAATTAAATGAAAAAGGAACGTTAGCTTTAGTCAAGTGCACTAAAGGCTTCGCGATCACGCCGTAGTCTCGAATGAAACGGCGGTAAAAGTTACAAAATCCAAAGAAGCTTTAAACGCCTTTGACGGTTGTAAAGGGCGCCCAATGCTCTACTATCGACGTCTTGTCCGGATCTACCTTTAAGCTTTCGATAAAGATGATAAAGCCTAGGTATTTTACCTTAGTAGTGCCGAATTCGCACTTTTTGATATCAGCCTGAAAGCCAGCGTCGTCGAGTCGTTAAAAGACCTAGCGGACGTAGTAAGAATGCTTTAAAAGGTCGAAGGAGTAGATCAGGATGTCGTCTAAATATGCCGTGCAAAAGATGTTTAAAAAGTCGAAAAAGAGGTCATTCATATAGCGTTAGTAAGTAGCGGGTCCATTAGTCAGTCCGAATAAAAGAACCTTACACTTATAAGCACCGTAGCGTGTTCTGAATGTTATAAGCTCTTTTGAAGCTGGGTCTATCCGTATTCTATAAAAGGCTTGCCGAATATCGAGTTTCGTAAAGATTTTAACTCTTAAGAGACGTGCGAAGGTCTTATCGATCAAAAGGAAAGAGTATCGATCTTTACGAGTGAGGTTGTTCAGCGCGCGGAAGTCAATACAAAAGCGAAAGGAACCGTCTTGCTTCTTAGCAAACAAGATTAGAGCTGCAAATAGCGCTGTTAAAGGTTCGATAAAACCTTTATTAAGATTGTCGATAAAGTAGGCTTTAATAAGCTCTAGCTCAGGGATTGACATCTTGTATAATGGTAAGTACCGAAGCGCTTTCTCCTTTCCTTCGAGAAGCTCGATTTTGTGGTCGTAAGGCCTATATAATGCTAGCATATTGCTAGCGGCCTTAGAGAACACGTGTATATAATCGGAGTATTCGAAAAGGATAAGAGGGTCGTCAATAAGCTCTGACAGTTCTGCTGCGAGGTCGATAGCAGAAATAAAGCCGTTAATAAAGCGTGTCAGCGTTGCTTAATGGTCAGCTTAAGTAAAAGCAATCGTCTAACGCTCGGAGATCAAGCAATCGAGCTCGTAAAAGGACGTAAAGAACAGTTCTACGTCTTTTTATCGAGCAATCATATAGAAAGCGTGTCCGGAGACGCCGTTAATTTTAAAGTTTCTATTGATTTTGTGCTTAGATGTTTAGCGGAAGCGTTTAACGAGTAAAGAAGGTTCTACGGAAGCGATATCGGTTAACATAAGCTTACGGTTCATCTAAGACATTAACTTAACGTAGTCTTTAAAAAAAATGTTTTTCGTAAAGCGAAGAAGTGACGGCTCTACGGGAAAGTGAATAAAAGAAAAAGGTTCAACGATCTTAAAAAAGAAAGCGGAGAGAGGACGATTTTAAAAAGAAAGAAGTGATTTAACGACTATTGTTATTGCTTAATCCGCCCGTAAACTATAGTTCACGAGTGAATTAGCGTCGTAAGCTCTTTAAAAGCGGTCCAAGGCTCGATCACGCCTGTTAGCGTCGTGTTAATAACGAGCGTTTACCTTACGCTAATTAAAGTGTATAATCTCAATAGGTTTAGCGTAAGTAGCGGTCGGAGAGTTAAAACGAGGCCAATAAAGCTTGCGGCGAAAGCAGTTAAAGAGAATCTAATGCTTAGCTAGCCATGCTCGTCCGAGGATTACGCTATGATTTCCAAAGTTAGTAATAAGAAAAAAAGTAAAAGATTAAACGCGCTTATCAACCGTAAGGTTGAGAAGTGCAAAATATAAGATAATAGCTCTACGAGCTCCATTATATGATTTGATAAGGAATAAGGCCGAAAAGGGTTGAATCAAAAGCTTAAGAAAGAAAGAAAGTGATTTGAGTAGCGCTAAGTCAATCAGCGCGTACCCATTAGCTCTTGAGTCGAGCAAAGCAGATACCTTGTACGAAAAGCCATTCTTAATAAGGGTGACGAATATAGTCATGGTTTTACCACCAAGAAGCTTCGTAAGGTCGAAGTATCGCATGTCTCGAAGCTGGCCTAAGAAGGAGGCTTTGCTTAGGCCTCGACGTTTCCCCTATTAAGAGCGTCGGAGTCAGCAAGAAGGAGCTCCTGGTAATCTTCAAGAGCATCGGAGTAAGGCCCATCGTCCGAGTCATCCGAATAGAAGCCGTATTCAGGTCTAGCGCCGTATTCTATCTCGTTAACTAAGTAGTGGCGGAAGAGCTTCAGCGTATTCGAGTCCTTGCGGGACGATCCAAGGGTCTTGATCGCTGACCTAAAAGCGTTTCCGGGAAAAGAGAATTTATTAAATCGATTAGATCGATCTGCACCAGCGCCAAGGCTGTTGAAGGTTTAGCGCTAAAAAGTAAAGAAAGAGACGAAGGCTGAGCTACCTTGGCGGTTCTCGTAATAAGTGATTTGCTTGACCGCTGCTCCTTAGGCCGAGCGAGATTCGGTACGAGCTCTACTATAAGAGCTCTTCGCGAATTAGGTATTATACTTGGCTTATAGAGCATCGTAGAGCCTTGCAGACGCGTATTGGCCAGCAGCCAATTATTAGACGGCGGTCTAAAAGTCTTTAAAAGTTATAGTCTTAGCAAATTCCAAATAGAGCTGGTCGCGCAGCGTTTTGATGATTTTAGAACGCAAGGCCTCACGTAATCGGTCCTCGTCCTTGATTTCGGCGGTAACGGCAAGCTCCGAGAAAACAAGGTAAAAGTCTTAAAATTGCTAGTTAAGCCTTATATAGAGTTTTTCAAACTCAATTAACGCTTTAGCCTTCTTAGCAAGGTCGTTCAAGAACTCGAAGGCGATCTAAACGAGTTCCGAGGCGGTTACGAAGTTGCTACGATCTATGACTAAAAGAGCTAAGAACAAGTAAGCTGTTCTTTCGGTTTAATCAAAGACGTAGTTCTTGCGTTAGCGTTCTATAAAAAAGTATTCTTCGAAAGCTTTTAAGTTGTCGAAAACGCGAGCTTGCTAATGACGTGCTCGATAGCTTACGCCGTCTAAGAGCTTCTATTCAAAGTTAAAGATCCGCTCGATACGAGCGCGACCTTAAAAAGCTGAAGAAGAAGCTCTAAAGGTGTTAAACCTAGCTAAAGTGCGGGAGTTGGTTAGCTTGTAAAGAGAAGGTAGTTCATCGTCGTCGGCGAAAAAGCGGCGAAAGTTAGCGGTTCCATAAGTAAAAGGAGTGGCTTAAAGGACCGAAGGCCTATATAGCTCCTTGCCTTTGGAATTATCTTCGAAGGAAACTTAAAGAGGCTCTGACGGGCGTTCCGTAGTTGGCAAGACCGCCTGGAGCTGGTCCAGTTCTTTTCGAGCTCGCCGAGCCTCTTTTTCAGCCCTTTCAGCGAAGGTTTTTTGTTCGCTAGCGCTTTTATCGAGCTCTTCGTTGCGGGTTTTCATATCTGCGAAGAGCTTTCTGAGCTTAGCGGCCTCTCGTTAAGACTAAAGGAGAGCTTAGTATTAGGCCAAAGCTTCTTCGGGGTTAGTAAAAGCCGAAAGATCATCTTCATCGTCTTGCTCACTAATAGCTTCTTCTTAAGTAAAAGGAATTGCTAATTGGGCCGTAGAAGAGGAAGAGGGAGCTGCTAGAGCAGCTTTAAAAAGAATGCGAAGGATTTTACCCGCGAAGCGAGAGTTGCTATGTTGTGTAAGTGCTATCCTTCAAGTTATACTTAGAATAAGCCTTCTCGTAACCGTTAGAATCGTCTGAGTGTTTTGACGTCCAACCACTAAGGAATTCTGAAAAAGAGAAATATTATTAAAGCCGTTCCCGGCGGAGTAAAGTAGTTGTTAATAATGTGACGACCTTAAGCGATTACCTGAAGGAACTCACGAGAGCGCGGAGGTTCACATAAAAGCTCAAGAGAATCTCAAAGTAATGACTTAGAATCAACAACTACCGAGTGTAAAGGTCGAAGGTAGCTAAAGTCTATATACACGAAAGTAAAAGCGCCAAGGACTCGTGAACCATGGTTCATGGGTCAAAAGCGAGGAATAAGAGAATACGAAGGGAAAAAGGAAGGAAGTAGCTTGGCGCATGTAAGGTGCGTCCAGGAGACCTGGCGTGTCGTCACAACTTTAGTTCGAAGATCAAGCTAGCTAAAGTTTAATTCGATATCTACAAAGTACTATTCACTTAGATTATTTTGCACGGCGATACGCTCGAGATACTATTCGTTTAATATATTTTACCTTTTCGATTCAATATCGATTCTAATACGAGTCTATTATTCTTTCTTTTTTAAAAAGGTAAGCAATAGTTAAGTACTAGAAATATTACGCTAAGCTTAAAAAGTTGAAAATTCAATACTTACTTCGCAACGGAAATTACGCATAAAGACTTCGAATTGCTTTCGATCATCTTTCGCTTTAGCAAATAAAAGATACGACGAACGGAAATAAGTGTTTACGATTCGAAACCGTTTCGGTATCGTATTATATTAAAAGCAAGCTATATGCTTATACGAAAGCTCGGCTATTACTCGACTTCGTTTTTATTTCGATACACTTAATCTCGGCAATTACTCTTCCGCTTATTACGGATCTTGCGTTATAAAATTAAACGTATTATTAATATCGTCTATTATATCGATTTAGTTTCGACTATTTAATTCGACGCGATCGACACTCGACTCTTTAATAAATCACTTTCGACGCATCGAGATCTTATATCTTTATAACATTTCTTTATATATTTAACATTTATTATAAATTATACTTATTTTATTTCTATTATTTATTTACATTTATATTATTTTATTATTCTCGTTCTTTCTTCGCATCCGTTTCGAAACACCTTTACATCTTAATCGATATCTATTAACTCAACTTAACGGGCTTACGTTAAAGCTTTCGAAAATCAAAAAGAGCTATGACTTCTTCGATTTAAAAAGATTTCGGACTTAATAAAGATGCTACTCGCAAGATAACCGAAGACAAAGTGAAGAGGATTCAAGCCCTTTTACCTTTTATAAATGCTTCGAATTACGTAAGTATCCGTAGACCTTTTTTTAGACCTAAAGCTTTTAAAATGCTTGCTTTTAATAAAGCTAATATCACGGACCATATTCGCTAGCTCGAACGAGCGTTTAAAAACTATAGTATCGTTACCGATTCGGAAAAGAAGCAATGCTTTATTAAATACAATATTTTTAGCTTTTTCAGTTATAATATACGTTACAATATTAAAAGCTTCGATAGCTTTTCGAATCCGAAAGTGACTTAAGACGACTTTAAATCGATAGTTAAAAAAGAATACAAGGCTTTCGACTTAGCTAAGTGAAAAGATAATATTAGCTTCTTAAACGACTTGAGCAATAAATAAATAGCAAAAGAAAGAGCTTTTAAAGCGGAGCTTTTATAATTTACTCGACAGTTCAACTTTACGAACCTTGCTTGCTTAACTAATAAAGATATTACCGATAAGCAGCTGAAATAAAAGTTCTTTAGTTGCTTACTACTATCGATACAAAATCGGACTTAAAAGAACGTCAAACTTAAAGAAGATCACTTGCAAACGTATAATATAATATATATTATAATTAGCGACTTAATCAAGCAAGAACAAATCATTACGGAACGGATCAAAAAATATAACTACGCTAAGATCTTTAAAGCTTTTTCTCGCTATAACTTTTATTAAAACGAAAACTCTCGTTTTTAAGTACCGTCTATCATTTCCGAAAGCAAGCGAAACTTATACGTTTCGCTTTTTTATAGCACTTACTTCGATAGTATTTATGCTTTTCTTTCTTATCGCGCAAGCACTATTGCTGCGAGTTCGATTACTTCGTTTATCGATCTTAACTTAAAGATCGAAGCTTTTACAAAACAGCTAACGAAAATTAATATTCATTTAAGACTTACCGACAGCTTCGCCTTCGTATTAAAAAAGGCTTATATAAACCTATTAAAAGCTGCTTAATATAAAGAGACTTAAGAGATCGCTTTGCACTAAGTTTACGAGATCAATACGATCGACATTTATTCGAACTGAAGCTACGCTATATCGAAAGAAAAACGGTTTTTAAACGATTCTAATTGCATTTTCTATTAGTGCTAGTAAACTTTTAACCTACTTAGCTATTAACAAAAGCCTTATAAATACTAAAATCAATGCTACTTGTTTATGCTTTAATACAGACTAGCCTTTTACTTTAACGAAGCGGACTTAATGTGTATAAAACCGTACTAAAGAAAGATACTATCGATTCCGTTTCAATTCCGAAACGATACTTTTAAATACGAGCAAGTTTTAAAAAAAGTTCGTAAGATAATAAATAATCTTAATCTTAAGCGTCGTTATAAAGCTTTAAAAGCACAACGAAAATCTATTAAAAAAGTTGCATAAGAACGCGCTAAAGCGCTTATTCGAGCAGCTAATAGCGGCAATGCGAAAGCTTTTCGTATTAACGACTTTAATACTTCGGACATAATTCGTTAACGATGCATTACATCAACGGATTCATATGCTCGCGTGTTTAATACAAAAGCTATTATTGCATTAATAAAAACTCAAGCACGCAACGCAGCTTCTCGAGTTACGTTATACCCGTTAAAAAACGCTCTTTCGGCAAAAGCAAAAGTCTAATCCACTTATAGCTAGCTTAAAATTACTTTCGCTAAGCTAATAAAAATAAATAAACTCGAGCCCGCTTACACCGCGATTCTCAACCGAAACGCTTTACGATTAAAAGACTTACGGAATCTGCTCGTCATACTGTTACAAGCTCTTAAAGCTGCACTTAAGCTTAAAGCTAAGCCTTTTAAAACTGCTAAATCATACGAAAAGCTTAGCAAGATAATCTCTTCTTTAAGAATAGACTACGAAGCGACTCGTATTGAACTCTTAAAAGAGCGCGATTTGCTAAAGAACTTAACTCTTAATAAGATTATTACGTTTTTCGCTGCTCTTTCTATTTCTAAACGATCTTCTTTCGAAGGTATAATCGATAAGATGATTCAGCAAACTCTTATTAGCGAAAGCGCTATTAATTGCTTTTAAGCTACGGTTAACGTTGCAAAAGCTTTAAAAGATTACTTGATTATAAATAGCAAACTTATACCGAAAGCGACGGATAATCCGGTAAAAGACGGACTTGCTTCAAAGCTTTAAAGACTTATTTAAAAAGAAAGTAATATCTTTTTATCTAATAGCGATCTATTTTGCAAAGTAACGGGTCGCTTTATTAGTAAAGCGCTTTATCGCAAGAATTTACTTTCTCTTCTTTTTTTTGCTACTTCGACTTACGGCCGAATCATTAAAAAAGCAGACCTTATATAAGTCTTTGCTCGGCTAAGACAAATCTTATATCGAGATGCTATTGCTTAGCGGTCTTAGCTTAAACGCTTATTCGAATTCTCTTAAATGACTAAGCTTCAATTGCAAAAGAACATCCGTAATAGCTAAATTAAGCACCTCCGACGCAATACGCTTCTCGCGCTTAAATCTCTTTTGATTTAAAAACGGTTCTGCTTTATTCTTATTATCGGCTTTATTCCGACTCTC